TTTGCGGGGGGCGGGGTTGGGCCCCCCCGCCCTGCCGCTGGCGACCCAGGACAGCAGCCGCATGCGAGGAGGGCAGGCTTGGGCTCACCCCCGCATGATGGAGGTGGTAGAAAGCCATAGCGAATGTGATTGAAAGACCTTCTTCTGTGTGTTTTGCCCCCACCAGAGGAAGGAAGAGCCCCTCAAAGGCTCCTACAAAGGCGCTTTCTCAGCTTGTGCCTGCTTTTCCTTGTTCCTGGGAGTACGTCCAGGTCATGCGGTGGAGAGAGCCGAGCCTGGGGACCTTTGTCCACTGCCTTTGTTGAACAGCTGAGGTTTACAGGGCTGGAGATGGGGGCAGCTGGGCTTCCATGTGAGTTTGGGGTGCAGTCTGGCTTGGGCACTAGGCTCTGGCTCCTGCTAGCCCTGCCTGTAAGAAGCCCTCTGCTCAGGGAGATCCGAGCTGCTGCCGGGTGATGTTCAGTCCCCGGAGGAGAAAACTTCCTCTGTGTATGATTGATTGCTCTTGGTTCTGTATTTCCATCCCCCCCGATGCTGAGGACTGCCACATGCAGGACGCGTAGCCTGGAAGAACTGAAGGTGAAGCCACCCCACCCCAGGAGCACTCGCAGCCATTGGGATGCCAGACGCACGCCGCCTGTCTTTCAGCTCCTGCCATGGACATGCCTGCAGCCCCACAAGTACCTGGGGGGCACTTTCCAAAGTCAGGTGGGCTTCCAAGAGGTTGGGCTGGGCAGGGCTGGGCTGTGCCATGGGCACAGCCACTGCCTGTCTGGTTGGTGAGCGTCGTCCCTTTGTCGCAGGAGCATCTTTGGCCAGCTCCAGCAGGTGGTGCCACCTGGTCTTCAAGGTGGGTTGTGGATTTGTACACCCTGGTGATGTGGCGTTTCAGAGGGCTCGCGGGACAGCCTGGAGGTTGGTTGGGTCTCGTCTCTAGCGAAAGCAGACTTCAGCAGACTTCACGTGCTCATTCTGTCCTTTGGGAATCAACAGGCACATGGGGAGAGGTGATAGGGTGGGATGGTGAACCCCAGTCTCTCAACAGAAAGAAGCAGGTTAAAAGCAGCTGGCAGCCTGAATGTTTACATCTCAGTAGGTTTGGAGAGCTACTACCCAGGAATAGCAAAAGAATCAACTCAATCTCTGATGTGGTGACCTGAGCGATGATTTTAAAGGAACGGGGAAAAAGCAAATACTCTGCAGATACTTAGAAAGAATCAGGTGGGATAATTGGAGACCAGCAGGTCAGGTGGGTTTATATGGACCAGGGCAAATTCTCCAGAAGGGCTGGAGTAGCTCCAAAATGCAAATGTTGCTCTTATTATTGAGTGGGATATTTATGCAAAATAGAATTTGGGTGGTTTGGTGTTTTATTTTCATTTAAAAAAAAATTTTCAGAAATGATTTTGAAATGAACTGAGAAATTTGATGGAGAAGGGTGACTTCTGTGAGAGTTTTTTGCTCATCCTGCATTGACCTTCTGATTTGCATTTTA